CGGACCCAATCCCAGCCGGCAATCGGGCGAAGGCGGGGTACACCCTGGACAGGTTGCCAATCCATCGCAGGGCGAACACATAGACGTACAACCACACATACACGCACGCACGCACTCCTATGGGCAATTTAGAGACACCAATCAACCTAAGCTGCACGTCTTTGGTCAGTGGGAGGAAGCCGGAGCACCCGGAGAGAACCCACGCAAGCACGGGGAGAACATGCAAACTCCACACAGAAAGGTCCCAGGTGGGGCCCGAACCCGGAACCTTCCCGCTGTGAGGCAACGGCGCCAACCACTGTGCCACCGTGCTGCCCATGAGTGGAGTAGAGGTGGACTTTTTCAAGGCACAGTAACAGGTCTTTGAGAGCCAGAATTCTTGCTGTTTCTCAGGTGTTCAAATACTTATGTTCAGCAGTGCAAGACAAATAAATTCTTTAAAAATCATACAATGTGATTTCCTGAATTTTTTTTTATTCTGTCTCTCAGAGTGGGAATGCACCTACAATGTGAATTTCAGACCCCTCCATGATTTCTAAGTGGGAGAACTTGCAAAATCGCAGGGTGTTCAAATACTTCTGTTCCTCACTGTAAGCCACCAGTTCACAGCTTCACGAGCCTGTTTTTAATTCCCATAACCAGACTTAACTGTCTCAAACCAGAACAAATTTCAGATGATGTCACATGCCATAACACGTCACGCCCACTGACAGCTAAAAGCAACCAACAGTGAATTTGATGTGATGTATAGGAGGTTAAGCCTTTTTACAGCTGGCAGAGTTGAACACTAATGAATCAAACATTGCTCTAAGTCTGTGTTCACACTCCAGACTCTAAACTGGTTGAGTAAACAGTGACAGTAATTTGGCGTTTACCAGTTTTAAGCAGTTGTAAGCTCTGCTTGGAGGTAAGCTTTTTTTAAACACAGCACTCGGGGCTCATCTGAGGTCGCTCTCCTTCTCACTCTGGTACACACCGTTCCTCTCCCAGTACTGATAAAACCTCTGCATGTCTGTGTCTCCAACCGTTACTGATAAAACCACTCTGACACATGCCACACTCCCTTCACAATTCCCCCCCAGAACCCACAGATAGGCTGGCTTGAACAGCAGAAAGCTAGCATATCCTCAAGCCTCTCTTCTGTCCAAACAACCTCACACAATCCCTGCTCTATAAAGCCGTGGCCTTCAGGAACACCAGGGTTGCTGTTGATATAGAATATCCTGCCTGGCATAGATTTGGCCCTGCTCCCAGCCTTGTAGCTTGTGGTTTGGAGCCACAACACTGTCATGGCCGTCGCTGTCGGCTAGGCTGAGGGAGGAGAGGAGGAGGCTGCATCTGCTCCTTTGGCATGAAAGGAGGAAGTGTGGGAGAGAGAAAGAATCTTCTTGTTTGCCTTTTCTGTTGGCATTAGTCTGAATTCTGCCAGATGAGCTGTCAGTTATCTTACTTTTGATATTGGAATTTCTTGCTTCTTGCCAGTCCAGGAATAAATTGATATATTTCAGCTGGAACTGTTCACTTGCATCATCACTCATTTAAAGAAAATCTTTATAGACAATTATTTCAAAATGTTCTAGGCCTGCTAACTGAACTGCATGATGGGGATAAATGCAGCTTCACTGTTGAATGGTTCAAACATTCTCCTTAGTTTTTGTGGTTTGTTGACTCATTTATCTGACAACAGAGAACATACCGAGAAGAGCTAGACCAATAAATCAGCCAGTATTACCTTATTGTTCATACAGTATGTCAGTATCTGTGTAAATGTCAACCAAGAATTAATTAAAAAATGTCATTACACAAATGGTTTAAGGTAATTTTGGAGCCAGTCCTAGCTGACACTGGGTGAGAGATGGGGTACACCCTGGACAGGTCTCCAGTCTATCACAGGGCTGACACTTAGACACGCACGTGTGAGCGTGAGTGAAGGTACAGACAAGACTGGCTGTGCTGTCATGCACCTACAGTGAATTAGCAACTGTTTTGATAATCGTTTAGAGCTCTGTGAAGGCATTTCTCATTATTGCCAAAGGTTTTACAAACCTATCGATTAATAGAGAAAATAATCAATAGGTTAATCAGTAATGAAAATAATCAGTAGTTGCACTTGGATACAAAATAGTTCAGTAGAGTTTCACCTCAACCAACTATAGCAGTCAAATCCAGCTATTACATCAATACATGAGTGAAATATACTGTGTAGTATAACATTTTTCTGCATTGAGTAGCCTCCTACTACTTCGTATTAAAAGTACATTTTTGTGTTGATACTTAGTACAATCTTAGATGAAGGTGGAGTGAGGAAAGAAAGTGAATTGGTATCTTCTAGCTTCTGACTGATTGAACACACCTGATCCAGGTAATCAGCAGTGGGTAGGGCAGAGATAGTTGGAAAACAACCAGGGAAGCTGCCCCCGAGGACCACGATTGGCCACCCTTGCACTTAGCCAAAGGTCATTTGTGAGGGAAGAGACCCCAGTCTCTACCACCTCTCCGTAGCAGATTGCTAAACATCAGTTTCAGTAGGAATTATCTCCAGTTAGCCTTTCAACAAAGAATGTCTCAGATTTGTTAGTGTGCAGCTGATGTATCAGTTTGCCAAACATTTTTAATGAACATTTAGTTAGAGCTGACAGAAGATCATTTAACAGTTTTGATTGTTGCTGCATATTATAATCTCTCATGGCCCAAACATAAGCTTTTACTCTATAGACAGGTTCAGGAAAATGTTGCAGAGATTCTCACACTAAGTTGAAGGCATCCTGCAGATCATCTTCTTTTGAACCAAAGTATACATTCAGTGGTTTTCACAGTAACATATTGTATCTTCTAACAAATATGATGAATGTATTTCCTTCTGCACACAATATCTGCAAAGCCAGTTTGTTTTAAATATTTGAAATTATGCATGGTTTATATCCATGTTGATTTGCTAGCAGTCTTTTTCTTCCTTGCTTTGCGGGTGTACCGCTAGTCTTTGTGCGTTACAGCCACCAGCTGCTGATCAGTGGAACAGTGTAAAACCACTGGCAGGGATGTGCGTTATGCTGCCCACATGCATCCTTGTCCTCTAATGGTCAGCAACTTCACTGGTGCCATTAATTGTAAATAAGAAACAATGTTGATTTAAAATTTTATATAGTTTCTTTAGAGTGAAAAGTAATACATGTAAAGTCCACTAACAGCGCTGCAGGTACTGTACTCCTATATCTCAATGTTGTACTGTACTGATGAATTTTGCGTTTGTTTTCCAGATGATTCCTCTGGATTCCTTTGTTGGACAGAGTGCGGATGGTAAAATGGTGCCCATCATCCCAGGAGGAAACAGCATCCCTCTCACTTTCTCCAACAGGAAGGAATATGTGGAAAGAGCTATTGAGTACAGGCTGCATGAAATTGATCGACAGGTAAGACTCTTCTCTGACATCAGTGACTACATGCTTGTGTTTTGTTTTTGTTTTTTTTAAAGTGGCGTGTGTAAAGAAGTGATATGCGAGTATGAGCATGTGATTACTCACATACAGTCCAGACCCCAAGTATTTGGACAGTTGCATGTTTTTGTTCCTCAAGCTCTGTGCTTTATGGCCTGCTCAATATTTAATTGTCTGATCTTATGAGGTAACAAGGTTAACCTTACTGTCGAGCTCTTCATAGCAGACCAAAGCAGCAGATCTCAAAGCTAAATACATTTAATTTATAGAAACCTCATTGTCCCAAAGGATAAAACTGGTGTTTATCTTCTTTTTTCTTATTGTCAACAAATCCTATGAAAAGATCAAAAACACCCATGTGCTAGTTTGTCTCTCAACACGTTCTGGCTTCCTTACTGTCTTTATGGCTCTGAGTCCCACGCCCATTGGCTCCTATAGAAAATGTAAAGCCTGGGTGACAAAAATGACTCACAAAAAAGTAGTTTCATTTTCAAAAAGTCTCAGCAATTTCCATAAAACAGCTTCTCACATTTTTTTTTTCTTATGAAACAAACAGGAGGAAATGTTGGGTACTATGACTGGCAGGGATGAATCCGTATGTGGTGCTCCAGTGAGCATTTGTGGCACCAAGGACGATGTATGTGAAATTGTCTCAAAACATTGAGAAGATTTTAATAAAGGAAGGTGTCATCCAGTGCAGCAGTGTTGCTATTTTTAACGGTTTTGGACAGTGGAGCTTGCCTCTGCAGTAGCATCTAGATAGTTTTGGTTGTCTAGATCTTGAGGTGTGAAGAGAGCATGTGAATGTCCTGTCTCTTCCTCTCAGGTAGCAGCAGTGCGTGAAGGCATGTCGTGGATCATACCGGTTCCACTGCTTTCCCTGCTGACTGCCAAGCACCTGGAGCAGATGGTGTGCGGCATGCCTGAGATCTGCTGCGACGTACTGAAGAAAGTAGTGCGATACAGAGAGGTGGACGAGCAGCACTCCCTGGTGCAGTGGTTCTGGCAGACTCTTGAGGAGTTCTCTAACGAGGAGCGAGTTCTTTTCATGCGCTTCGTCTCAGGACGCTCGAGGCTGCCTGCCAACACGGCCGACATCTCACAGAGATTTCAGATCATGAAAGTGGATAGGGTAAGTTGATCAATATCTGGCTCTTTAAGCACTAAACTGTCAAACTGCATTTGTCCTTAGGCTGTGTTCAGTAGAGAACCACTGGGCTCATTTACATTTTGTTTTAGTAAATAATTGTGATGATGTAAAGTACAGTAACACCAAGCCTTCTGACTCCAGCTCTTCAAGCAATGTTCAAGGGACTTTTTTTGTCATCCACAGCCATACGACAGCCTGCCCACCTCTCAGACCTGTTTCTTTCAGCTGCGTCTGCCTCCATACTCAAGTCAGGCCATCATGGCCGAGAGGCTGCGCTACGCCATCAACAACTGCCGCTCTATTGACATGGACAACTATATGCTCTCCCGTAATGTAGACAACGCCGAGGGCTCGGACACAGACTACTGATGCAGGCAGTTCCAATCATACATAGAGGCCCGGGAATGGCCAGGCATGGACTGTCTCCTCTGAAAGCCTCACACACACACGCATACACACACGCAAAGATGTTTCAACATGACTACACCAGTTGTAGGGAACTCCTGAGCAGGTGGGCCACTTTTTACATGCATTTTATGTACTTTAAACAGCAGAGTTTCATTTCTCCATGTGGTTTATTAGCAGGTTTTAATGGCACAAAATCCACATGAGAAGTGCATTTATTATTTTTTTTTTCCCATTACTCCACATCCCATTTTCAGGGTTTCTGCATGGAGGTTAAGTTTGTTTGGAAATGTGTAGAGAATATTAATGTTGTGGAGGAAAAAAAGAATATTGTACATTGTGTAAAATGCTTCAATACAAAAATGTTTTGCATAATATCCATATTTATTGTTTTCATTGCCTGTTGAGTTTTCCAAAGCATACAAAAAAAAAAAACAATAAATGCTGCATAATCAATTTGTTGTTCTGCTGCTGAGGTTGCTGTTTAAAACAGGAAAAAGCACTTCATTTTAGAAAGCAGACATTTATTGCAGAAGTACAAAATATCACAAAGGCCATCTTTCAGGGGGAGTAAATTGTGAGCAAAGCTATGTACATAAAGCAAAACGTCTACATGTCTTAAACAGATTTTATCTTGGTGAAACCAGGTGTTGCAGGATTGATGTCATGTACAGTCCTACCTGAAAATGGCTTTAAGCTGTCTTCAAAGCTGTCTTCAGATGGGATGCAGTATGCGCTGTACTCGTCACGGAGTGGGTGCAGCACAGGGGTGGCGCACAGACACAAATCACACACCAGTTGTTAGGAGACCAAAAAGCTGTCTGCAGGGTGGTTAGCAGGCAGACACCTAATTTTTCTAGCAGCGGACTTGGATGCATGATATATGCATGTATGTGCCATCAAAAAGCTCTGGCTTTAGTTGTATTAATGAGGAGGAGTAGACGAGTTGCAGCAAAGAAGAGGAGCTTGTGGGTCTGCTGAAAGGAGCTTTGCCTCAATTCTTTCTTTCCACAGAGCACTACGCCCAAGTTGAACATATAACTTCTGCATAGTGCGCAGGGATGGCATGCACGACCTTGTGCTGTGCTACATTCTTGTGCTGCGCAACACAGACATCAGTAGGTTTGATAGCACAGCACCCACATCCTGTCTGAAACTCCCAGCACAGGCTACTCAACACAAGCACTACATGTTCTGTACTCTGCAGTGGCCACTAAAACTAGCACTGTTTGCTCCTGCAGTGATCTGTAATGTGTGCGGCGTTGTTCCCAGACCTGCGTCATTAAGGGAGCATGTATGAACACTGGGAGGAGATTGTGTGCACACACACGCCCACTAGAGTGGCGCACAGACAGAAGTAACAGAAAACACGCTAAAGATTAGATCCATGATTTTAGACCATTTTTACTCTGTGGTTTTCAACCGCTGCAGCCCTAAATACGACTCTTGTATGGAGTTTCCAATTTGTATCCGTTTATCTTTACACCTCTAGCGATCAAGTATGGATCTGGCTGCATAGTTCTGTCTGAAGCCAACCCGAGCTCAAGAGTGTGGTGGCTTAACCTGACAGTTTGTGCAGTAGTTTTTCTAGTATGGCCTTTGAGCCATACACTCAGTGCCCAGCTAAAAGTGATCCCATAAATGGAGGACCACCTTGCCGTTTACAGGTGACAGCTTTTAAAGTGTTCTAAAAGTCAACAGTCATTGAAAAGGCAATCAAACAGGTTATCATTTTAACCAAGAACCAGTCTTGTGTTTTTGGGTCATATTCTGATTCTTTCCACTCATCCTGGACAACCTGAAAACAGAGCTGCAGATAAACATTGGCTGTAGATTACAAAATATATTTAGAAGACTCCAAAACATGCTTTTTAAGGCCTCTTTTGTCAGTATGTCCAGGCCTTGTGGAAGCCGTGTGAGGGCCTGAACGATAAGATCCTGTCTCACCCAGATATCTCTCAGCCACTGATTTCATCACAGCACGTTAAGTATCCTCTGCGGGCAGCCATGACAACCAGGCTCTGTCTCTCACAGTCCTGGGAGCAATAATGCTGTCTTTCGCCTGCAGGAGTCCTTTCAGACAAGGTGAGCTGATCTGGAAAGGCAGGGGCCTCTGGCTTAGACAATTAGTGCTGAGGCGATGCAGGGTCTCAGTGTGCGAGTCAGTGCTGGAGGACACGGCATTGTCCTGGGTCACTTCCTGGCTGCAGCGAGTGGAGGCAGCCGGCTGGCTGAGTGTTGATGCAGGAATTTTCATGGAGCAGACGGGTGATGTGTGAAGCCATTTAAGGTGAGTGAAGGAGCACGAGGCTGCTGGCTTGATGTTTGAAGAGGATGGAGATGGAGAGGCACTGCAGTGATGCTGCTGGAAAAAAAAAAAAAAAAAAAGTGTTACATCAACTACTGCACTTGCATAAATTAAAGCTACAGTATGTAACTTTTTACTGATATTTTTCATAAATATGCTCCAAAACATTTTAATGTGGAGAGGTGTGGTCAAAGGTATCTGTGAGCCAGACCCATTGAAGAGCCTTGTTGTAACAGGGACCAAGTCGGGGGTGGGGGCTCATGGCAGTCAATCTATATGCAAAGATGGTTCTAGTCTACTACTGTGATATGACATCACATACACTGGGCTTTTCAGTGAATGAGGAGACATTTGAAATTAACGTGCATATTGATTGCCGGGATTCCTCAATAACAACATGGAAGAAGTAATGTGCCACCATTGACCTGTACTACATTATAGTTTTTTTTAGCCTCACTAATTTAAATGTGAACAAAATAAGAACAGCTCTTAATATAAAGCAGTCCAGTTAGACAATAGCAGATACTGCTTTCAAAATGAACGTACAGTTGAATCAACACCTCTGAAACAGTTCGACTAAAAACTGAACATCAACACTGTCATGAAGGAGGATTTGCAGGACTGTGGGATCACTTTTAGCTGGACACTGAGTGTAATGTGGAACTGCCACACAGCAAGTGACAGTGTTGACTTTTTCTGTACCCACAGGATATCCTAAAAACCTCATCACCCGACTCCCTGACATCTGCGCTCAGTTAAATTTTGTTTGGCAGTTTCCAGCTGTGGATTTATCCATCTGGGAGTCGACGTCCTTGGGCCCAAGGTCACACTGGGTTTGCCCTCATTATTCTGACCTCTACTCTTGTTATGAAACTGAGCGCGTTGTTGGAAATCCTTGTCAGTAAAAGTATATTTGTACCTTCACTATCTTCTCCCAGGATTATGTTACATAATCTGGTTCGTGGCTGTCTTCTTCTCACTAGTCACTACCAAGTATTCAGATGGTCTACTTCCCTACTTTTTTTTTATGCAGGATTTTTATCTTTGTTGTTAATTGTTAGGGAGGCAACTATGCATTAATCTTCCTATTATTTTCTTAAGTAAAATGTCAGTAATATGTGGAAAGCATCAACCACAAGTTTCCAAAACCCATGACATTTTCTAACTAACTGAATTTTTGATAAATCTCTGCAACTGAATTATGAATAATTACGTTTACCTTTTGCTTCTTAGCTGGGTTGCCATCTTCGCACTGGGGCCGATGTGGTTTGATATGAGGGAACCAACTTTGAAGCATTTCTTCTATTTTCAGCATAATGCTGAGGAAGCGTCCCCTAAAAGGGGGGAGGGGGAGTTTTTATTGTTATTAATATAAAAACACTCAATGACAATGGAATGCTGAGATGTACTGTAAGGATCAAAAGTTAAAACACTTACATATTTACTATTTATTTAGCTGGAGGTGGAGCAAATCTTAACTACTCTATACGCAGGACTGCTGGCTTGTTGGTTTAATGACTTCAAATCCACCATTCACTGTGTCGGCAGTGAGAGAACCACAACAGTGAAGCTGTGGGCCAGACAGCTACACAATGAGCTGAACAGCTCTATGCAGCCAAGGGGAGCTGCACATTCAGCTGATTCTCTGCAGTTTCATCACCGCCACACCTTTACAACATCACTGTGAAATGTCAATTACAGCTGCTCTGAGGACACTTGTCACAAACTAAATGTACTTGCTAACAATATGTGCAGCAGTTACTTTTTAGAAGCAGATCAGATGTTTTGTATTAAAAAACTAGTAATTATAACTGTGAAATGTAGCGGGGTAAAAAGCCCAGAATTTACTTTGAACTATCACTATAAAATAGAAATACTCCAGTATGACAGCAGTACCTTAAAATGGAACTTACAGTACTTAAATATTCACTTTCCATCACTGGGCAAAACAAAACGAAGGATGAAGTGATGACAGGGTGAAGCCATTTGTTACTTCACTGATTGTCACATTTCTACAGCAGAGGGGTTTTCAGTTACAGATTACAGAGTCGAGCTGCCCTGCAGCTCAGATGGCTTAGGGATGTCTCGCCAATGGTCATTACATAAGCTTTATAAAGCTTCTGCCAGCACATTCAGCGCTCTGGCTTTATCTGATTGGTAGGCAACGTGAAATAGCACAAAGAATGAATAAATAAAAAGACTGAGCGGGCGAATGGCAGGCTGATCTGTGTGTATGTGCATTCCTCTCTGTGTGGTGCTATCTTAGCACACATCCATATACAGTACAAGCATCGCATGAGCTCAGAGGGAGATAAGTAGAGCATGTTCAGGTCCACGAGAAATGTGACTGTGGCACTGCTGCAACAATACTTGTCTCTCTCACTCACTCACACACAGGCTGTAGCCCACACGTGGCAGAGGGGGGAGGCTCTCGTTCCATTCACAGGCTATAAATAGAGCAGTACACCCTGGAGCAGCCTGCCGAGGCCCTACCGTTTGCTCACAGCCATGAGGCGGAGTTAAAACATGATCAACTTCAGCCAGGACAGCACCACACTCAACGCACACACAACCTTTCTGATGTCACTATACGCTTGAGTGACAAAAATAAACATCTGTACAGTGTAACACACTTCAACACAGCAGCTTTGGATTGGTGGAGAAAATTCTCAGATCATTTACTAAAGTAAAAGCAGCAATACCACTGGGGTGGGGGGTGGGGGGTCTTTAGATTCTTAGATGTATCGCAATGCAGATGTGAAAGATTATGAATCGATTCACCAGTGTCAAAAATCGATTTTCTAAATGTTAATCGATAATGTAATGTTGACAGACAAGTCACTGAAAACATAGTTTTGCTTAATGAACTCTGACAATCGGGTGAGCAAAATACAAACTTGGCTAATGAAACCGTTGCCTCTCCTCCTCCTCCCCCCTTTTTAGCAGTGTCAGCTAGGGATGTCGCAATATACCGGTACTGACGACGGGGTACATGATAAATAATAAAGAGCCAGTAATTATCTGGATGACACTCCAGTTACATAGGTGGTGCACCCTGATGCTGGTTGTCACCCAACATCGAGAGGAAAACAAGTCCATCATGCAGTAACTAGCTAGGTAGCTCCTACCCTGACAGTATACACAATAAAGATGAATTTGACTGATGGCATTTTTTTCTTTTCTAATTTTCTGTAGGTATCATGATAATATTGTTTTTGTGAATTTTCTGGCCACAATAATCATGTAGTGAAAATCTAATATTGTGGCAGCACTGGCAAAGCCAAAGACTGAGGTCAGAAGCTCCACCTCTGTACAATCTGTAGCAAACTGATCAGCTAAGTGTGTTGCATCATTTTTAGGCAACCACACTTTTTCATTTAACTCTTTTGCATATAAATAATACCCTTATAAACTTAATATTGAACAAAGAGCTTGTAAAAATAAGATAACTGTTGAAGACTACAGCTGTTATTTCTCTCTGTCATAAATATTTAATCGACATTTAAGTGTTGGATCAGACCTGGATTGAAGCAGACACCCCTAGTTACAGATATTTTGAATAAATCTTTTAGAAAAGCAGTCCTGTATGCAGACACAGTAATCTGCAGTAACTGTGATCACTGATAGAAACCAAAAGATTTTTTTTGGCTGAACAATTTTATCCAGCAAACATTCCTCACTGTGTTCCATCAGCACTCCAATAGTTTTAACTACGGTTTATCTGACATGTGGCCACTATCTCTCTCTGACCAGGTGGCCCAGGACAGAAAAAGGTCAAACACACACACACACACACACACACACACACACACACACACACACACACACACACACACACAGAAACAAGAACATTAAGAAGCAAGCATGCTGTTGTTTCCCCTGCAGTGTACTAAAAACAGATGCTGATGTATTTACCCCATGTTTGGATTCTGAAGGATCCCCATTATTCTCTGGATACGGTCCATTGCGACACTCTCCTGGAAACTGCTGAGACCTGAGGGAGAGAGGGGAAACTCTGCTGTGAGGATGAGGAGAGGAGGCACGTGGCTCATTCAACTACTAACTGCGTAACCAGTTATGACCTCATCTGCACTGTCCTGCTCCTCAGCTCTATTCTCTGATGCCTCCACAAAACCACAAACAGCTGCAGCCTGATTTGCTCAAAGCAGAACATCAGCATCACTAATTACAGTCTACAGCTAAACTCCCTGCTTAAACCTTTCATCTGGAAATGCCTGCAGTACATAATCAAATGCTAAGCTATGGCAACCACATCTTGATTCTAGCACAGTACTTAACCCCCAGACATGAGACTGATATTGCCACCTGGCAAGACAGTGAATAAGCATTTTTCTCAAAATGTCACTGTCCCTTTAAAAAAAAAGTACAGCTGAAGTAACCTGAAGCTGAACAAATAAACAAATATACTGCTAAGTTGGACAAACTGAGGATTTAACTGAGTGGTGGCATTAGCTCAGTGGTCCTCACTTCTGGTCCTGAGGAGTCACAGCACTGTTGACCATGATCAGAATATTTATTTGGCTTAATCCTCAGCCCATGTGGTGTGATTCAGAAGAACATCCTGTAAAAAGCCTTTAAAATCACCCCGCTCTGCGTCAGCGACCCCAACATGATGGGTTCATCTTTAGCAGTGTGATCTGCACACAGTGTGTTCATTAGCAAACCTGCCTGTGAGCTGCAGAGCTGCACAGGACGGAGAGTGACAACTGGGATTAGACACTTACGTTCGGAGTACCTGCCTGATCTCAGGCCCCGCAGGATGGATGACAGCGGCTGGATGTAGCACTGCAGCTCCATGCACTGTGTGGAACAGATAACTGGGTTAGCTTTTACACTGCCAATGCTGCACCATGTAAAGTGCTTTCTAATATCCACTTAAATGCACCCATCCACAGCAGATCACCTCCCACCGCTTTCCTAAAACTGAATAAGTCACATAATCAGCCAGAGCTCAGGTAATATAAGGAGCAGTGTGTTTCTGTGTGTACAGCTTATCTGAATTCCTTCGATTTCTTATTTATCAAGGACCCAGTGATTTACAGCTCAATGCCTGAGGGCCGTTAACAGGAACTCCCATTTGATGGCATTAGCCTCACGTTAATACTGAAGCTAAACGTCCACACTCTCTTCAATAAGAGGGAGCCGTTAACTAAGCTAATGATGAAACTGGCAGCCATCTTCACACGTGGCTTCCCAAACTACCAAAGTGCTGCCTTTGTCCGAGCGTCACTCTGCAGCTCAGACAGACACAAGCCCTGGTAACACCAGACTATCCTGATGACTGGCACCGTCAGACCCTGTTACACTGGCTGGTATCACCAGGTTGATGTCAGCGCCTACCTGCAGCTTCCCTCTCCTGCACTCCATGTGTACTGATCTCCCAAAGTATGTTTAACATCCACTGGGCGGGCAGGAGCTTGTGGCCCTAAGATGTGTAGATAAAAGACTGATGGAAGATGTAAGAATTGAAATGATTTCAGATTAAAGACAAAGCTAAAGCTGTGCCCCTTTGGTCAGAGAATGAGCAATCGTGTGGATGCACTGTATTCTGGTCTTTTATCTACTACTTTGGGTGAAGAGGTTTCTTTCTCTCAGTATGATATGACCAAAACCAGGGTTCACCACATTACATTTAAGACTTTTTACAACCTTTGTAATACTACACAAAGTGCATTTTAATGCCTGTTTAAAGACGCTAAATTCAGTACATTTTAAGACAACCTGCAAAGTTTTTGAACACTCCTGTTGGTAGCGTTTGTGTACCTTTGGTCTGGGGCGGTTCTTCAAAGTTTAGGCTAGCACCCTCACCTCCAACAGAATCTTAATGCTACAGCAGACAAAGACAGTGTTGGGCCATAACGTGTAACTGGTTCAAAAGTAATAATATTACTTTCCCCAGTAACAAGTAGAGTAAAAAGTTACAAATAAAATTCCAGTAATGATATTATAGCTACTTCCTCCAAAAACAACTGTTTTCAATGTTACTTTTGCTGTGACCACAGCAAAGATTGATTTGAAATCCGACATTGATACTCACATTGACTGTAGTCGAGACGTGTGCACATGTCACTATTAGCAGCTCCATAAGCAGTAAACTAGCTTGGAAGATGGAAGTTTCTATGGTTGTAGACAAGCGGTAAGACTCTTTCCACTGCGAAAAACACAACCTCAAATCTCCTGAAACACTTAAGACAGCACAACAATGTGAAGCTCATGGAGATACACCCCAACAAAGATGAGCCCTACGTGACCGTGCAGGATGGCTGTAGCAATTTGGTGGCTAAGCAACCAAAACTGGATTTTAGTTGTCAACAGCAGGCTACAACAAGCAACACAGAACTAATGAAGCTTGTGGATGAAATGTTGTCCATTTCCACTACTGACTCTCCATCTTACAGACAGATCCTTGGGAAAATACCAGTCACAGGCACCAGTTTAAGATGCCCATGGCACACTTTTCCTTATTTTCTGACTTATAAACAATGTGGCAACGGTGAATTATCATCTTGGATGTGACCAGAGGATGTGGAGAAAAATACAGGGCCTGAAGTTACTGCATGTCCAGGAATGTCCATGTACAGAGGCTCACTGTTTTACCTGACCGGGGCTAATGTGGCGTGAATGGAGCTGCTGGAAACCTCCAATCAGCCTGTAACTTTTATGGATTCATAAGCTTCAGAAAAAAACCCCTGCTGGTTTGAAACCTTTGCTGTGCTTACCGGTGATTACCCCGACATTCTCATAGCTAGGAGGCACATTTTGAGTAGAAAGGACGTAATTACCAACCTGTGGGGCGTGAAGGAAAAGTAATATAACAAGTAGTGTAACGAGTGACTTTTGACAGGGAGTAATAGGTACTAATATTAATTTTGAAGAGTAACAAGTAATAAGTATTACATTTTTTGAGTAATGAGTCCAACACTGTACAAAGATATGTTAGATAATCATGTGCTTCCAGCTGTGTGGCAACAGTGTGGGGGAGACCCATTTTCAACACACGGACTCCTGAACATCAGCTTGATCTCAACAGATATGTAGGAACTGTGGTGTTGGCTTTAAACTTGGTCAGTTGCACCATCTGCATCAATGCCATACGTCAACTGTCATCAAACCATTTTTGCAGAGCAAGAGTTTTCTTAAAGGTAATATGAAAGGCAGTACTATGAAATATGCTCCTGCTCAAAATATCACTAGCTCATCTTTCTAACCTTTCTGCCATGAGTTCAGAAGGCCTCGTTTACACCTTCTGACATGAAGAATATATTTTATCTCTACAACAGTCTGCAGCTCCATGAAGAAATGATTTATCAAATTTGCCCTGAGCTTAACCTCATCAAACCTCCTTGGGTTTGTGTCTGCCATCCCTGTTTGTTCACCACACACTCAGTATAATTCTGCAGGAGGGAAGCTCTCACCTTGTGCAAGAATAGTTCGTTTGCAGCGTCTGCTTGAGGCTGTCCAGGGATTCTGTCCAAACCAGCTCCGTGTGTTCTCTTCCTCCTCGAATGATGTTTCAACTCCACAGAAAGTGGACTGACTGCTGGGGTCTGCAGGGCGGCTGGAAAGCCAACGTCTTCATCTTTGCAGTCCCAGCAGTCACTCCTCTTCCTCCACCTCTGGGTGGCTCCAGAGCAGAAGCAGCGTGTAGGAGATTCGCTTAAGGGTGTGGTTGTTGATGGTGGTGGTGGTATCGGCATCTTCTGCACACACCGAGGACTTAATCTCTTTGGGCTACCACAGTTGTCCTCATCGCTGGCGAGCCAGTCAACGGAGTAATCCGAGTCCAAGGTCCACATGGTGGAGCTAGGCTGAGGGCAGCAGCAGAGGACACCACGGACCTGCCAGACAAACACCAGGTCAAAGTGTTGTGAAAGATGAAGACTTTTAAAAAAAGTTTGTTTCTTTGCATAGTGAACCATTACACACTGTACATTTTACATCACTATGAACGACTGCTGTGCTGCTAAACTTTGTTTAATTGTACTCTGAGATCCCAAAGACACCAAACATGTCAGATCAGTTTTGAAGAAACATCCATAAAATTCTACACAACACATCTAGAATGTTTCCATTTCATCGAACACTGCAGCCATGAAAGACCCTCGAACACTTTGCTCAGTGTGAGCATCACATGGCTTCAATAGAGAGTTGGAAGAAGAAGACATAGAATGGACTGATTTACTGTCAGTGTGTGATAAGATCATTTTAACAGCTACCAAGGAGAAATTCAAGTTGCTGAACTTTGTTAGACCCACTGCCACAATCCCCAGAAGTCCTGTTTCTGGGAATGAGGAGGTTTGAATGACCTGAGGAAGACTTTATGTTCTACATTCACACACAAATCATACCTACTAATGGTTTTAAGATGATTCTGATCCTTTTTAGACTTGTACTGTATCTTTACATGTCTACGGGGCAAATAAACTGCCCTGATCAACAAAACAAATGGCTCCCACCTATTTTGCTAACCAATGATTTATCAAACAAAAATCCCATACAGTTTTTGGTTTGAGCTTATGTTTTATTATTTTAAATGTAATTAAATTTGACACAATGTATGTCTTTGTCACCTAGGGCTCTGGGAAACTGTGACAGGCATCTTTAAATGTTCAGTATATTCCTGTCAGTCAGAGACATTACAACACAGCACCTTGAATAACTGAATATACAGGCCAGTAAATTAAATAACCCTCCTCTGCCTGTTCCAAATGGGCAGGTCGTCCAACATTATGTAAGAAACAAACATCCAAACACATGGACCCGTTTCTTTTCGCCAGTCAGTTCACATACACACACAGTTTACAAAGCAGATTTTCATAAGTTCGACTCAAAAAGCCTCACATCCAGAGATTCATGGCCAGAAAATTCAATTTAGGGCACAATAAATTCAAAACATGCCTTAGAGGGTAAAACACTGCGGGAACTTTACTACTACAGTTTTACAGCAGATGGCTTTTTATAACCCGACTTGTAGGTGCAGATCTGCGTTTCAAACCGATATCAACCCGAAAGTGCATCTTATTTTGCGCTGCAGTTTCTTAATATTAAAGCGTTATTAGTCCAGGTGAGCCGTGACAGCCCACCAGGAGGTGGCTGCCCGTGTGAGCAGCAGACTCACCAGAAGAAAACCCTGCGTTTCCCGTCCGGCTCGCTGAGCTGACTGTTGATGGAGTGAAACCATGAAACCAGCAGACGCAGGGAGGCTACCGGGCTGGAATCCCATCCTGTCAGCGCTGCCTCTCCCCGCGCAACGTGTCCGAGAGGGGCGGGGCACAACGCGCCCTGCTCCGCCGGCCTGCGCCGCTCGCCCCGGCCACACATTCACACGCACACACATTTGTACAGCTATCTTTGTGAAGACACTCATTAATCTAGTGCGTTCCCCAACACCTTACCCCAACCTTAACCATCACAACTACGTGTCTAACTCCAGCCCTTACTCTAATTACTGCCTAATTAGAGAAAGGGCTGGGAGGGAGAGAAGCAGGAAGTGGTTGACACCAATGAAGAAACAATGTTGTGCGTCATCGCCTCAATTAATCTCTCCCATTGGATCAGAGTGGCACGTGACCAGCGAAAAGTCCAATTAATGCTGCCTCAAGGCCTTTCCGGGTTTTTTAATTGAACGCACAAGAGTGGACAGTAGGTGGAGGGAACCAAATAGGCTACACTTACCTTAGTGCAGTAGGCTACTCTACTTAAGTAGAAATTTAAGGTCTTTATACCTACATTATGTTGACCTTTGTAACCCCCCATGGCCACATTCACTTGCTAAGGGGGTGTTTAAAGGGGAAATGAGGGCTTTCTGACTATTTTTTTGTCCTTTTAAACATTTATTTCATTATACTGTTTATAGTAGGCTACATAACCTGGCAACAGAGCAATAAGTAGATTTCCAAAAAATGATCCCTTCAGTGAGAAAAATACATTCTGAGTTCATTAATTCAAAACTAAGAATGGAGGACCAATGTTTCAAAGTTAATATGAGAGAAGATAGAATTTTCCCTATAAAAATGATGCCAAATAAATTAAATGTAAAGGTTATACCCTACCACTTGCATACAGGCAGAGTTTCAGAAAAAATGTCACTCCTGCAGAATAATACAGATATAACATGGGCATGTGGCTGCATGTAGGACTGATGGCATCTTTGATGTCCCTGCCAAGGGGCCTATTGTTTCACAACCTGTCCCAGCAGTAAACTGAGGACTCATCAGCCCACTGAGCACTTATTAAACTGACTAGAGAGGAAGTACAGCATTGTGGCCCATTTTTGGCTTTTGGCTTTACTGCCAACTGTGTCACAACCAGATGGTGTGCAATAAATCAGATGCCAGAATGTTAGAACAATTTAATCAACACCATTAAAATGAAGTAAGCAGCTGCCTTACACTAAGCACATCAATTCAAAATGATGCATGTGCTTCTAGGATGCTTTGCACTAATATTTTCCTGCACATGTTTAGGTTTAAACCAATGACCCTGTGTACTTATCTATGATGTAAATCACATTGTACATTAAATATGGAATATGTGTTATGTTCTCCACACCGACTGAAATAATACCTTCTAACTGTCAGCCTCACTGAGTAACAGCCTAACTGTTTGGAGCATTAAAATGTTAAGACAAGACAACAATTCTAATAGCATCAGACACACTGGAGAGGCGGGTACACAGGATATAGATTATATACATTTAACAATCTGACCAAAGCACAGTGGTAGGCAAACAACAGGAAAAATTCAGCTTTCCAGTAAAACAATTTGCTTCTCAGATAAAAGTTTTCACTTTCACAGTTACATCAACTTTTCACAAATCTACTGTAGATGGCAGTACAAACACAAGATACATAAAAAGCTGATACATACAACCTCATACAACTCCCATGTGAAGAGAGACGTGCACGTCACTGAAATGTCCTACTCTACCTGATGAATAACACAATTACAGTGCCTGTAAAACGTATTCACCCCCTTGGATGTTTTACCCTTTAATTGATCGTCATCAGTGTGTGAATGTTGTGTGTGAATGGGTGAATGGTGTATCATCTCTGTAAAGCGCTTTGGCCAGTGCAACACACTGTGAGAAAGCGCTATATAAAATACAGTCCATTTACCATTTACCATTTACCATTTTATAAATCAGTCATGGTCAATATAATTTGGCTTTGTTTGATAAAAACAATTAAAAAAAACCTCTTTAAGGTCAAAGTGAAAACAGGTTTTTACAAAGTAATGTCAATTAAATATGTAATGGGAAATAAGTGATTCCATAAATATTCACCCCTTTTAAAATGACTGACCTAATTCAACAGAGGTCCAACCAGTTAGTGCTAGTAGTCTCACAATTAGTGAAATGGGGATCACCAGAGTGCAGTGAATGTGTCTCAAGTGATTGTAGTATAAAGACACCTGTGTCTGGAAGGGCCAGTCACTGGTTAATCAGTATTCCTGGCTACCATTACACCATGAAGACAAAAGAACACTCCAGGCAACCCAGAGAAAAGGTTATTGAAAAGTATAAGTCAGGGGATGGATACAACAATATTTCCAAGGCACTGAACATCCCCTGGAGTTCAGTTAAACCCAGAGAGAGAGTGAGAGAAGGGGGCATAAATCTGATTTTAGTAAGTAAAATCTTTTTTTATCTTTAAAAAATTCTGAAAATGGTTTAACTTTGTCATTATGGGTTAGTGATAGTAGAGTGAAAGGGAAAATAAATCTGTTACAGCATCAGCTTCAGTCAATTTTTTTCCGTCTTCCTCGGGAGCCGAGTAACACCGCCATCAAGTGGACAGTGTCCGTAGTACAGCCTGTACTGTTCGTCAGTGTGGAATTCGAGAGAGAAAAAAACAAATATCCATCCAACATGTATATCACTTATCCTATAGAGGGCGACAGGGGGCGGCACTGAGCAAGAGGTTGGCTGGGTACACCCTGGACAGTTTGCCAATGTATCACAGGGCTGACACAAGGTAAACCCATCTTCCTGTAATTACATCCACATTTCAGTAATGAATGATCACAGAGTGTATTTGAGTTCAAATGAACTGATTGTTTGTGGTGTGTGTGTCAGCTGTGACTGTGACTTCTGCAGTGTGTATTAGGACACAGGAATCTGACTTGTGTCGCTTGCGGTGTCCCTCTAGGAATCATTCTTTTCTCATATACTCTGTGTGTGTGTGTGTGTGTGTGTGTGTGCGCCTGTGGTAATGGGAACATTGGGGGCTGTGACCCCCAAACTGGGAGAGTGGCTCCAACAGATCCCAGGAACAACATCTGAGATCTCTGTCCAGAAGAGTGTAGTGCTAGGAACAGCTAAGATACTGAGCAGGACCTTCAAGCTCTCAGGCCTCTGGTAGAGGACCCGAGCTTGAAGGAAGGAATACAAGATTGCCCCAAAGTGGGGGGTGAGTGGGGAATTTAATTTTATTTTTATGTATATGTGTATATACAGTTGCAATCAGAAATATTCAAACCCCCAAAGATTTTAAGGGTTTATCAAATTAAAGTTTTTTCAAAGAGCAAGATTCTGCTTTGGAAGACTTCTTTATGAGTTGAGTGATACATAAAGTCAACACAGAAAATGTATGATGTAGTATTTGTTTGTAACAGTATGTTTTGTTAAGATAGCCATGTCACAATTATTCAACCCCTATATAAAATTGTTGTTTTTAAAGTTTTCTGACAGCTTTTATGGCCTAAAGTGGAGTTGAAACATAATTAAGCCTTTGAGAACTTCATTTGCTTCAGCTGTGATGCATATATACAGTAAACACCAACCATGAAGGTATTCAAGGTGAGTTGCAATCATGAAAAAGACAAAGGAGCTTCCACAGAAGCTGAGAGAGGAGATTATTTCATCACACCTGAAGGGTCTTGTGTATAAGAAGATTTAACATTCCAACAGACACCAATGGGAGCATTATAAGGAAGTTTAAAACTTATGGAAGTGGCCTGGCCGTGGAAGACGGGCCAATATTTATCAAGGGTCCTTAGCAACTTAGTCAGCACAGCTAAGAATACCCACCGTGTGTCTGCAAGACACCTACAGGATGACATGATGAAGGCTGGTACAAGCGATTCAGTGGCAACTATAAGATGGGCACTAAATAAACAAGGACTTCATGGCCAGACTCCACTCTTGACCACAAGGAACATCAAAAGTCAACTAGAATGTACCAGGAGGAATTTGGATAAGACTACAGAGCTTTGGGAGACATCATCACTTACAGGGTCTGTGCACAGACTTCCATTCATTTCCAAGAGACCTACCCTAACCTTAACCAGAACCACTACTTGCCTAACCTTAACCCTTTCCCCAACCTTAACCAAAGCCAACACTTGCTTTAACCTTACATCCCTTCATTTTCATAAAATCTGTGAATTAGTCATGGGGCCCAGCCTCCAGTCCCCACAGACGACCTCTGCTCCCCTCAGAGCGATGTGCTCCCAGTGATCTATCCCTACAAATAAACAAGGTCACACACACACACACACACACTGCACCAGAGTCATATAACCAACAGAACATATCATTCCACAGCAGGTTTTATTTAGAGCTTTCTACAGGACAGGTGTATTGTTTTGTGTTTTTCTTGTTTGTTTGTCTGTTTTCCCCAGACTTAACTAAAGCATGTCCATTTCTGTAGCTACATCACCTTTCACTGAATAAATTGTTTTTTTCCTTTGCTTATGTCCTACATACAAATAATGCCAAAGCATGAAGAAGAATGAGACGTCAGGAGTGACCTGAAAAGACAAACAACACACATTAAATGTCTTATTATAGTATGTTTACATTATGTTCAGTTCACTTGTGTGTCCATGAATAAACTATTATTTTCAGGTAATTCCTTTATTAGAAGTGCAAGAAAATATTACTACTCTGAGCTCATTAATAGCCATCACTATAATCAATTAGCTGGTCAGTCTAATGAACTGTCCTTCCATCAGTGCCCCTGCCTCCTGAGATGCTGAGTGTGAAGTTCCATTCTTTTGTTAACTGGATTTTAAATCTAGCTTTTGTCAGCCACACAATGCTGACATGTGATAAATAACTGCTGCAGCTCTTGACATGAGACTGATTTCAGCATTGTCGAACCTGTTCGCAATATTTCACACTGTCATGGTAAATTTATAACTATTCTGAAAAACTGTGTTGGAACTTCAGGAAAAACATTAAACTGGTTTTCATCATGCCCAGAGAATAGCAACATGTTTTTTTACTGATAACTATGTCTCTTCTTTGTGTAAAATTAAGTATGGCATTCCCCAGGGCTCAGTCTAGGGGTCTGTTTTATTCTTTTTTCATATGCTAGTGCTTGATATTCATGGAAACTGTGTTATTTCATTCTTACAGTACATGGACAACACTCAACATTAAGGCCCACTGACCATAGCACAGTGTGGCCATCACTGCCTAGATGATGTTAAAAGCTGGATGTCCTCATTATTGGCCAGCAGTATTGCACTTCTAAATTGCTAACCTATCGCTGTGATTTCAAGAACAATATAAAACCTATGTCTAAAACATAAACATACTAAGGTGAGCCAGTTTGTTTTTACCAACTTAACAATATTGCTAAGTTACAACCATTGATACATTTTAGAGACACTGACACATTCGCTTGTCATTGTAATGCTCTTTTTACCAGTCTAATTCAAAGATAGCTTAACTGCCACCAGGCTGTCCAAAATCCTGCAGCTAGGTTTTTAAATAATATCAGGAAATTCAGTCATATCAGTCCTATTTTAGCTCCCTTCTACTGGAAGACCAGCATTTAACTAAAGGGCAATCAATCATAAATTGAAACTTCATTTTGTGGTGAAATATCCCTTTAATGTTGACAAATATAGGAAGGTAGTCACATTTGAGTAGGAGCCTGACATGTACTTCATATAAACATACCTGATTGGTTCCCACCATTCCTTGGTGCTGAAGTAACCGACTCTAAAGAAGCAAACGCCTCTGGTTAGCCCACAGTATCACACCTCACATGTTCTTTAATGGACTTGAACATCTTGACCCCACCTGTCAGACTCACCTGACATCCTGGCCAGTTCAATGCTGTAGTCAGAGAACTCGTGTCGTTTGCTCACAGAACAAACATGGGCCCCAAAATCCTGCAGTCTGACCTGCTGGATGGCCAGTGTGATGTTCCCGGGGCTGTAGGTGATACTGTAGCCCACTGTGCAGTTCTGGAAAGCTTTGTGTTTGATGTAGTGACACAGCAGCTCATTGTGTGGACTCCTCCACTGTACAGACAGCTGAGGGATGTGAGTGTGGTCCTCATAGTGGTATGAACATGGCATAGTAACTGGCTGACCAGGCTGACAGCGCACCTTAACAACACTGCCTGGAGACAGAAGAGCTCATTGTAAATGCATAATTAAAGCAGCACTAATATATATTTTGTATATTAACTTTAATTAAATGACTATGTGTTGCAAAAGAAGTCACTCGCAGTGACACACACAGAAAACAATCTCCAACTTTGCAGACTTTTTGTATGCAAGCTAGTCACAAGTGGCCAGTATTTTCATTTTTAATATATATGTATGCACACATCAAAACAACTTCCATCTTTTCAATAGGCTGCGATCTTTTAAGCTTTATATCAGCATTAATGAATTTTTGGCCACTTAACATTAGTTAATTGTAAACACAACAGCAATTTATTATCACCTTTAAATGTTGATATGGCAAACTTGTGAGAAAACGCTGCCTACTGACACATCCAGCAGTTACAGAGCAACATAAACATTAATTTTAAGTTGCATAATGGAGAATGTCACTGTACAGTAAGTCCAATATTCATTTTCCTTTCAGCTCTAAAAGCTGCTAAATTCTCCACTGTGTTCACCAGCTCATCTCTTACTTTGTCTGTCTGCTGTTTGGCGCAGAGCAGAAACTGTATGGTGGCTTTATAAGAGGCGTTTGCTATATACAGTGGCCTGCTGTTGCTGGTGATGAGGAAAGCAGTGACAGTGAACCAAAACAATGAAGGTACAGGTGGTAAAACCACAACAATACATTGAATAACAAAAAACTCTGTACTGATAATTCTCTGTGGGTTCGTCATCATTCATACTACCCATGTAATTGATGCACTGTTAATATACAGACACATTACTATTCAAAAGTTTGAACAACTGATTTCAGGTATTTAGTTTCATTTCAGCAGTCTGCTGTGACACTAAACTTGTGGAAACTTTGAATTAGCTTTGTAGCTTAAAGTTAGTTAGGTTATACAGTATGTTTAGTCAAAGTTATTTTGGCCTTGTAATGGCAGTGTGGCATGAATATCTCACTTCAAGGACTCTGGCAGCAAAACAACAGCTTTTTCAAAACAAGAGATGATCAAATTCCTTTATGATACAATGTCTATTTCATGTTTAGTAGGTTTATAAAATTCTCACTGCTCACAAATGCATTAACACGTGATGACATTGTGACTTTAATGAAAGGCAAAATGTGTCTGAACCTTCACTCTGGCAAGTTGTGCATAAACCAATTATTCCTTCATTAACAATTACAAGCATAATCTAGACAATAATAATATCAAGTGATGCCTTCATCTGAAAAACACTATCTGAGTATTAAATTACTACAGATTCAGGTGGAATCTTTGTTGTGAAACTTACCTTCTCCAACCAGATGTGACAAAACCAGTCCAAGGTACAGTGCAGCTGCCCCAGTCTGTGGTGTTATCTGCATTTGGTGTTGGATTAACTCAACAGTTTCAAACACTTAGATGAATATTTTTTGGAAATATCAAGATCCCGAAGCACAAAGTTCAGAAACAACGCCTGTCTAGTATCACTTTTGTTTCCCCAGCAATATCAGTTTACAAGCCTGGACGTGAGTGTAAACGCACTGAACCAGTGGTTACCAGGCATCAGAGGACTCTATGCAATGTGAGCCTTCTGAATCATGTGTGTATGAGGATGAATCTGCATTATTAACTGACAGAATGGTTTGACCATGAGGTTCATTTACTGTAAGTGGCTCTGTGACACATGTCTCCACCATGAGCTAAGAATTATAAGAACAGCTGATGACTAATGACTTGAGAACAATGACACTGCAACTTTGCTTTAGAAGAAGAGAACGTCCTCAGCCATCAAAGAGAAAGTTAGGTCTTCATTTTATCTGAGAGAAATCTAAATCATCACATTTTCACTGAACAATGACCAAATAATCTTCAACAATGTTCAAATATACTACATTGTTTTCTTTTAGATGGTTGATTTATGTTTACCCTGCATTATTTCTGTAGTTGTTTGGTTTCTATGTAATGTATATTTTGCTTCAGTACCTCCAGTCAGATTTATTCTCTCACTCTCTATTGCCCAAATTCAGTTTCCATATTATTAATTTCAGATTTTAGGGGAGAAAATGAGTTGACTGTAGTAATTTGTTCTTCTGATGTAGATATGGCTCTGTTTCTATAGTTCAGGCAACACCACACCTAAAATAACAGTAAGCAAATGAAGACTTTTTAGAACTTGTACTGAAAGTACAACTACTTCTTTACCCAACTCTATTTCTGCATTATTATTTTGTGACTGTGTGGTTGTTTAAACTCGTTATCATTTTGTTGCCAACCTGTATTCTGAAACGTTTGTTGGGATAGCTTCCTGTAGAGGCAGATGGTCTCCACTGCTCTGAATTAGATAATTGAAAGCAATTAGGGCATCTGTAGTGTATATTAAAAGGTTTGAACTTGGGTTTAAACTCCAAACATTGCTTTAATGAACTCCTCCTCTGACACAGAAGAGACAACTGATTAAAACTAGTTCCCAAGCTGAGTTCACTGACCCCAAGGTAAAACAGGGTGGTGACGCTGTAAAATGATATGAGTGAGGAAGCCTCGCAGCCCTCTACAGGATAAGCAGGATAGATCGTGGAAGGATGGGAATGAGTGAAGAAGGCAACCGTCCTTCTCAACCACAAAATTAGGTTAACTTTTTTCTCACTATTCTCTTTTCTTGTGAAATACTGGCTACATTAGGTGATTTTATCAGTACAGATTTTTGTATTTCTTGTGATAGCAGCTGACATTTCCACATGCAGTATTTGTATGTTAAATAAAAACAAAACATTACAGCACTAAAATCACATAAATCAGTTTAATGTCAATCAGTGCCACTAATACAAATCAACTGGAGTTTTCAAACACACTTACAGTACAGAAAATGTTATTTTACCTAAATTTCATTTTATAATCACTGACAGAATCAACATTATTATACTGTACACAAAGAAAATAAACACACACTGTACATGGTCACAGGCCTACTGAGGATTATTTACATATACACACACATTCTCATAGCTTCAATCTCATTTTGTAAAGATGCACAAATGTACAGGTGCTCCATGACACACTTACTTTATCTTTATAATACTTTACACAGCGCTCTACATGAATGTGCAAACTCTTGTGACTTGTTTTGAAGACAATGGGCATCAGGCAAGAGTCACTCATGGGAACAACCATTGTGAGGTGGCAGGATCAAATGATTGGAAAGAAATTTTCTCTGAGGTACCAACTAAATTCACGAGAAGACACTTGTTTCAAGAATTACAGTCACCCAAATTTTAAATATGTTACAGAAAAATGTTTAAATACAAAAATGTTCTTGCATGATGCCCACTGTATTCTGATTTCCATTGTTGATCAGCTCAAACTAAATTTTCAAATTTCAGCATTATAGGCCAAACACTTTTTATTTAATCCTAATATAAACTCTTCTGAGGCTCACCGCAACATAATGTGTGCTGAATGTTCACGGTGTCTGAACTGTTTTGTGCAGAACTGTGCAGAATCTCTGTGATCTGTAAAGCTGTCATCATGGTGAGATCAAGTTTAGAAATCAGACTGGTGTGTTTTGAGTATTTGGACCAGATTAGTCCTGGACTAAAGTCCCTTCTGTGCTGACAGGACCACTGATAATTCAGTTTGCCCAGTGTTTAGCTAGTTGAACCACTACACTCTGACGTTAATCCTTTACTTCTGAGCAAACACTGTGGACAGTTAAGAACCTCAGCCTCGGGCCATGAATTACTTCCTGTGTGTGTCTGTTGTGGGGAAACCTGGCTGCCACTGTGAAGTACAAAATGATGTCACAAAACCAATAAGACACAAAAACTATCACTGTACAAATACATTTCACATTTTACAGTTTTGTTTTCCTTCTGCCTGTGCCTTTGTGACAGCTGAAGATGGTGATGCTGTGCACGCGGCGGTTACTGGATGCCTCTGAATAAACACATCGCAAACACCATGGCGAAAAGCTGGAGAGAGACAAACAGGGATCACAAATGGTTAAAGCTTCCACTTTTAAAACTGAAAAGCTATTTATCACTTCATTCAGCTAAAGATGATGACAGATGTAAAAACTGTAGCCAGGACTTTAATCAGGCCAGATATTCTACTAAATTGAATAAAACTATGGTTTTGGTTTGTTTTGGTTGTGCAAGATTAATTAAATTAAATAATCTAAGGATGTTGTCTGAGGCATTCC